ATTTTAACTTGTTAAAACTGAATTTCTGATATCAAAAATATGCATTTTAACAAAAGTTGAATTTCTGATATCAGAAATACACATTATAACCAGTCACCACTGAATTTATGATATCAAGAATTTGCATTCTAACTAGTTAGAACTGAATTTATGATATCCTCTAGAAATGAATTAAAGCTAAAACGGCTTGCCATAGTCTTCGTTCTCTGTGCATGTAGCAACCCAGCCGGAAGGGGACAGAAAGTGGCGTCGAATGTCTGAAGCCGTATATTTACATTAATTATTATTTTCATTCATTTATTATTAACTCTGGTCAGCAGATTGAGCTTTCATTTTCCCCAGAATACACCGGTGATATTAGACAAATGTATATCAGTTATCAATAAAATTTTCCTATGCAGAAATATGGAGAAGTAAGCAGAAAGGTATTCATTCATGCATTACATGTAACTCAGGTACAAAAATTAATCTGTACAATTTTTGCTCCACTACTTCTCTTTTCCCAGCACTGCTGTGTAACTTCCAGGTGTCAATCAGCTAGTTTATTGCGGAAATTCTGAGGTTCTAGGTGGACATTTCAACTGGAATGCCCCCTGAAGTCGGAATTCCTACTCGGAGAGTTGGAGGAATCCACGCAGCCCCAACCTCAGAATTCAAGATGGCAGCGTCCTTTGTCAACAGAAGTTGAAGCTGTAGATTTATACTTTTTACTAGCATTTACGTCTTATTTGTGTCTTGTTAAGTCAGCCATACACACAGTACTGTCCAACCGCTATCTGTGGACGTGTTGCTATGGTGTTTTTATGCACAAAATACCTCATAATGCATTGTTATCAACTGATATTGCTAACAATGAACCTGGCTAGAACTGGGGCCCATTTCATTAAGTGGGACTTCTTGATTAGATGGATAACTTGTCAGATTTAAGGTAGTCTGGTCTAAAAGTGAATGAAGACAAAGGCCATTTAAACTGGGGTACCTTAAATCTGACAAGATGCCCAGCTAAGCAAGAAATCCTGCTTTTTGAAGCAGGTCCGTGATATTGCTAAATGGCTTTCCAACTTGTTGTACTAGAATGTGGCTAACTCAGGTGTGATGTCATTTCCAGCTCTGACTTCTGAGGTGAACGGACTGCAGCATATCTATCATGCCACAAGGTCATGCACGTAAGATCAAAGACAAGACTAAACAATAGCCAATTAATATGCACACTCACCACCAAATGGACAGGAATGTGAATTACTTAAAGATACAGTAGACGGCATTTTTAAAGCTCCATTGAGACATTTTACATGAAAACAGTGGCTGAAGTCAAAATAATGGTCAGCTTTTTGATTTTTCCCTCATTATTAAAAATATTTTGTCAGTGACGGAAAATATTTGCACAACTCATCAATGGCTTTAGTGCCAAGCACCAAATCAGAACAGTGTACACCTTCTATCAGCAATGAAGCTGAGGCTGATCTGTCTGAACTTGTTTTTTCTTGCAGATGTCTGCTCCTCATCCAACAACTGCAGATAATTAGATCTTTAAAACAGATAGACTGCAGTTTGGTGTGACCCACATGCTCTGCCATTACGTAATTTGCCCAGATTAACTTATTGGTACCAGATCAGTTTTGTACTGTTAAACCTAGAGAGGATGTTAAAAGACATGCCCCCTAAGATCTGGTGCACGGTGAGATCCTGCACGTAACTTCTGCACTGGGGTGTTGACAACACCCAACTTTGCAAAATGAAGATCTGTTTAGCAAAGCTAAAAACACACTGAAGCTTACTCTTTTCGTTAAATCTCTTTGGTATGGTTGCAACAGTGAAGCCAACAGAAACAAAGATCTTTTTGCTTATGTGGTCTTCAATTAGAACAGCTGTACATTATTTTGATTATGTTGGTTATATAAGGTGTAGGGTGATCATGTTCTGGGGGCAAACAGCAAGGCTGTGACAGGCCGCTATACACGGGCTTCTTCTCTAGCTCATTTGTCTCAATCACGCCGCTTCTGCATGTCTCCTTTTGGCAATAGGTTCCACTTTACATTCTTGCACCTGAATACCCAAGCCCAGTGTCCCGAGCCCAGCTTTAGGAATGCCTGTAATTCTGGGAGATGAGGCTACAGCATTTGATAGTGTGACCGCTGGTGGATACTCTCCCAAAATGTTCAACTTGGCCTGTTTGGACAATGGTGGCTTGTTTATAAAACAACATAAAGCAGATTAGCTGTGTATTTTCTTTGTATAATTACTGCACTGGAATTAACCACAGCATATTTTTGGATAAAATGGGGAGAACATGCAAACTCCACACACCTGGAACCATGGTGGAGACTTGAACTCTGATCCCAGATGTGTGAGGCAACAGTGCTAACCGCTGCACGAACATGCCACCAAGAAACGCCCATGTCTCCTCATGAGGAAAATATTTGTTACATGCCAAAGGTGTGTGTTCCTGTTTATAAGAGCCAGAGTAATTATAACAGCCCTACAAGTGCCCTCTGGAATTCCTCCTAAATCTTCTATCTGCTGTCTTCAGGCTGCCAAGGGTATTTTCATTGTTCTGATGACCAAGTATGTACCACATGCATGAATTGGTTAACAACCCATTGAGCAACAAAAAACACTAGATTGACAACCACAAAGCTAAGAGTTTAACATGTCTCATTAGACTGAGCAGTGTATCATTTTGAATTTGCAGTTTCCTTCTTTGTAGAATGAGGTTTTGAGCACCAGAGGGCACCAATGAGACTTACAGGCACCCACACTATATGGACAAAAGTCCTGGGACACCTGGTCATTACACCTACAGGAACTTTTATGACATCCCATTCTAAATCCATAGGCATCAATATGGAGTTGGTCCCCACTTGCAGCTACAACAGCTGCCACTCTTCTGAGAAGGCTTAGCACAAGATTTTGGAGGAATATTTGCCCATTCATCTAGAAGAGCATTTGTGAGGTCAGGCACTGATGTTGGATGTGAAGGCCTGGCTCACAGCCTCCATCGTAGTTCATCCCAAAGGTTTTGGATGGAGTTGTGGTCAGGGCTTTGTGCAGGCCAGTCAAGTTCTTCTACACCAAACTCACCCAGCCATGTCTTTATGGACCTTGCTTTGTGCAATGGGGCAGGGTCATGCTAGAAGAGAAAAGGGCCTTCCCCAAACTATTTCCACAAGTTGGAAGTATAGAATTGTCCAAAATGTCTTGATACGCTGAAGCATTAACCTTCACTGGAACTAAGGGGCCTAGGTCAACCCCTGAAAAACAACCCCATACCATTATCCCTCCTCCACCAAACTTTACAGCTGGCACAATGCAGTCAGGTAGGTAACGTTCTCCTGGTATCCACCAAAATGAGACTTGTCTATCAGACTGACAGACAGAAAAGAGCGATTCATCACTCCACAGAACATGTTTCCACTGCTTCAGAGTTCAATGGCATTGTGCTTCACACCACTCCATCTGACACTTGGCATTCCCTTACGAAAATTAACCATGGTTTACAATGGTTTGCAGTTTTTCATGGTTCTTTGGGTAACTATGGAAACCATGACTATGGTTTTATCATGATTTCGCTACAGTTAAACAGTAGTATAATGTTGGTCATAAACCATGGTTTTTTGTTTTACCATGGTCTTTATCGTGGTCTTTGTTTTACCATGGTCTTTCCAAACCATGGTAGTACTATGGCCCATGGGTAGTACCAAAATACCATGGTAAAACTATGGTTACTGCCTAAAAACCATAGGAAACCATAGTGAATTTTCATAAGGGTTGTGCTTGGTGATGTGAGGTTTGCATGCAGCTGTTCGGCCATGGAAGCCCATTTCATGAAACTCATGGGGCACAGTTTTTTTGTGCTGGGGTTAATGCCAGAGGAAGTTGGGAACTCTGAACTTATTGAGTCAATCAAGCATTTGGTGACTTTTACGCAATAATGCTTCCACTTTGCAATAAAACAACTTACTGTTGACTGAGGAAGATCTAGCAGGGAAGAAATTTCACAAACTGACTTATTGCAAAGGTGACATTCTGTGACAGTACACATGTTTGTAAGCCTGACTGCAAGGCTATGTGCTTGATTTTATACACCTGTGGCAATGGGTCTGAATGAAACACCTGAATTCAGTGTGTCACGATACTTATGTCCATACATACAGTGTATATCCAGGACTTCCTGAATGTCTCACCCAATAAAAAACATTCTCCTCACCACAGGCTGTCAGCATCCTGTTCTCAGTAAAACGAAACTATTTTGGGCTTCACTGGAAAAATTATATTTTCAGTTAAGTGACTGAACGAATGTGTGTGCAAAATAAGGACCAGAAACCGTGTCTCGGTAATTTTAGGCAGTATAGCGATACGCTTTATATGTATACGCGCGTACACACACACTATGCATACATTATTATAGTATGTGTCTGCGTGTTCAAAACGCAAATAACTGGTTTCCATCCGTTTTCAAATATCCAACTATAACTTAAGTTATAGACATTTAACATTATTGCAAGTAGCAGACTCAAAATAAAGATACAAATTTTATCCGTTTATGTCATTGCTCTTAAAACAGAAGGTAAATGTTTATGGACAAAATATCTAAAATTTAAATCCACAACCTATTTGGCAACGGCTCTAAAACCATAACCACTGACGCATATATTTTTTGTATTTAGCTTGCTTTTAGTTTTTGTTATTTTTCAGTTTTAGCTAATTTCTAGTTGCGTTTGTTTTTGGCTTTCAACGCTGGCGCATGCGCGACTCACATCCACGGTTGAGTCATCCTGTAGAAGCAGGCACAACAGCTCCCCCTCCCGCTTCATGACGCCGACCCTGTCCCATAGGGTCAAAATTCTGGCAGCAGAATTCCCTGTTGGCGTCTCACCGTAAAGTGCCCCATGGGATGCTAACCGTGACTACCGTAACCAGTCTAAGCGGAGCCGAGCGCTCCAAGCAAACCAACAGTGCTCAGCGTGTCTGACGTCACGGATGCGTCACATGACCGATTTGGGCCAATGGCAGGCGAGCAGCGGGGCGTCCGGGCTTCCCTGCCGAGGTGGAGTAGGGGAGCAGGGGTTGCAAGCGTTTCGCGTTAATGCTGCCGATCAGTGCGGCGCGTTCCTGTGCTGTGCTACTGCACGTTTACCTCCGGGGATCGTAATAGAGCCGGTGGCCGTAGGACTGGAGCCGGAGCCTTTTTTTGATAGGATAGGAACCCGTCCGACCCCGCCGATCGCTGTCGGTTCTTTTTAAATAACGGGACGCCTCGGACTTCCTTTCGCTTCTGGGTGCCTGACCGGCGCACAGGTAACAGTTTTTAGCCCAGAAGCGAAGCGGCCCCTGCTGAATATGGACTTCGGCGGTGGCGGTGGGCTCCACAGTAAACAGTACTCCCAGTCGGAGGACAGCAAGCCTTTATTGGAGGAGATGTCCACGCCGCCGGTGGGGAATCGCCGGAGCAGAACGGGCTCAGGGCCGTGTCGGAGAGCCCCGCAGCATTGCAGCAGCGGGATGCGCTACAAGCTCCTTCAGGAAGGAGACATCCAGGTTTGCGTGATCAGGCGCCACCGCACCTTCCTCAGCAAGATCCTTGCCAGCAAGTTCCTGCGGAGATGGGAGGCGCACCACCTGACGCTTACGGAAAGCTGCCTGCTGTCGGCCACGGTGAGTCTCCCCGATCAGCACAGATGAAGCCCACTGCATTTTCTGACAGTATTGTTTCCTTTCTGTGTGGTCTTTGATGGACTTTACGTGCGTGTGTGTGTGAGACAGAGAGAGTGTGGGGCAATATCTGAGAGTTACGACATAATTACTGTAAAAATCTGTCAGATACACCAGTGTGGTGGCAGGAGTAAGATGTATTTGTACAGTTTTTCACGTTTTAAGAGATCACGGAGTGTGGCAGAAGGCATCACCCGTAGTGGTGGTATTGAACGGGGAAAGTCGTCTCCTTCATGATTCGGCAATCGCATCGTCATACTCACAAAAGGCTGAATGTTGGAAGTAAATCGTCAGACCCTCAGAACTGCCACCGCAGTGAGTGCAGTGACTCTGAACTATAGGAGATGCCCTGTGGGGTGGGGGCAGCACCAGGTGTTTGTCTGTGTCTCATTGTGGTCACTGGAGGGCATGAAGTCCTGTGAGACCCCTGACTGCAGCTGTGATGGCGTTTGACATGGGTCGGTTTTCACTGTCTACCTCTCTCTCCTCTGGTCTTCCATTATGTGGTAGGTGGATTTAAGCCCAGTGCGCTTGTATACTTCATGCCGAGTGCTGTGTCGTTCTTCCCTGCTGCCTTCCTCAGACTAATTTCACAATCTGGCAGTGTGGATAGAACAGGAGATGGAGAATTACAGCTGGACATCAGGAGAGAGGAAGACACCAGCGATGATCGCAAGTCACATTAACCAGGGTTGCTGTGGAAACCGTGTTGTTTCTATGGCAGTGTGGTGGTTGTGGTTACTAACCTACAGTGTATAGTTGATGTGTCTTGTAATTCTGTGGTTAATAGTGACATAAGGTCTTCAAGGAAGCTTGTTTTGAGTTGATGTGGTTGGTAGTTAGTAGCTGATTTTCTCATGAAATAGAAGTGTTTTAATATGACTCTGGTCTGTTAGTTGTGACCTGTATTGAACAGCCAATCCCAGTATATTGGTTTTAGATCCCTTTATTTTATCAAGAAAACTGTAAGTTGATATGGAGAGAGGAGGCCATCTTTCTGTATGAAGGTGAGCATGAGAGGAAGTTCTCCTCTTTTATCCTGCTCTTCAGTGTGGATGTGCCCAGTGCTGTGTGTTTTCCTCCAGCACTGAGTGCTGCATCAGGTTGATGAAACGGCTGTCCACCTTTGTTTGGAGATATGAATTCTTGGCTACATGCAGGAGGGAATCCGCTAGCCCTTGAAGATGCTGTCTGCGTCTACGGCAGCAGAGCCTGGCATGGTTCTTCTTTGTTCTTCGTTCTAAGTTTCGTTTTTTTTTTTTTTGTTTTTTTTTTGGGTCAGTGCGGCGATCTGAAAACAACGTAAATATCTGCTTTGATGAGCTTGGCTCTTCCTGGTTGGAAATGTGACTTTCTCCGGGCGTTCCACTATTCAAATAACCTTCCTTCCCCTCATGCACAGTTGAGGTGTTATTCTGTGTGTCTGCTTGCAGTGTCTCTCACACTTTGAGTGTGTGTTTATAGACCCCCATCCCTGCACGTTCTCTGTCTTCCTCCAGCCCACAGGCTACATGGAGACTGCCGTAGCTTATGGTGCTATGGAGGATCTCCAACCCCTGTGCTGGGATGGCGCCCCCAAATACTGCCTGCAGCTCAGCATTCCTGGGGGTACCATGCTATTGCAGGTCAGAGCCTCGTCCTGTCAGCTGGCTTGTGGTGCATTTTTGGTCCATGGGGGTTTAGGCTGGCCTGGTTCTGATGACCTGTCTCTGTGTCTTGGTGTAGGCAGCCAACAGCTATTTAAGGGAGCAGTGGTTCTACTCAATGCAGTGGAAGGTAGGGTTAGACTGCTTCTGCTTCAGGCTGGGGCTCCACCCACAGCCTGTGATGTCACTGACCCGGTCTGGAGTATGGCATGTCTCCGCTTTAGTGAGAGAATCTTTCTGACTCCAGAAAAAGATGCACAAGTACAGCAAGGTTCTGAGCAACCCAAGCCGCTGGGAGGTGGTCCTGAAGGAGATCCGAGCCCTGGTGGACACGGCGTTGACGTCACCCCTGCAGGATGACGCGGTCCACCAAACGCCGCTGCACATTGTCTCCGCCCTGCTGGCTGAGGTGTGTCCCTGCGGCCTGGTCCTCGTCCTGTCCAGGTTATCTGTAAGTGTATGTGTTTGCATCAGTATCTCTAATGGTCAGGTTTTCCAATACAGAACCCCAGCCTGAGCATCCAGGACCACGAGAACATTATCATGGTGAGTGTGAATGCATGTTCCCGGCTGTAGCTCAGTGCAATTTTATACACCAATGAGTCTGCACTGATGTTGTGGAACTACTATACAGAGTGATGAATTAACCTTACCTGCTCTTTCGTCAATCCTTCAGGCCATTGCCCCTCTGCTGGAAAACAACACCCCCCCCCCAGAGCTGTGTGACCTCTTCCTAAAGGTAAACATCTCTTCCTCGGTGGGGGGCAGGGGGAGTTCCACCTGATGTTTGACCCTTTTTGGTGCCAAAGTGTCAGGATTTTGTCTGATTGTGTGTTGGTCTCCAGCACTTTCAAGAGTGTCCGCGGTCAACGGTGGTTACTGAGGTTTTCACACCTATGGTGCAGAGAATTCTGAAACACAATATGGTGAGTGTTCATCTAGGGCTGTGCGGTCCTTGGGAACAGCTGTGTCCCGCGAGTGACAGCTAGCTAGAGTGATCTCTCACTCCTGTCTTGGCAGGACTTTGGGAAGTTTCCCCGCCTTCGCCTCTTCACTCAGGAATACATCCTGGCCATCAGTGAGCTCAATGCCGGGGCGGATGTGGTCAGGAAGTTCATCCAGAGGTGGGCCGTCTTCTGAGCGTGCTCATCAGCTATGAGGTACCTGCAAACGTGCCTCTGTCAGCTGAACGTTGGCTCTGTGTTCCAGCCTGCATGGTCCCACCGGGCTCTGCCCCCACCCCCGCGTCCTGCCCAACCTGGTGGCCATCTGCCTGGCTGCCGTTTACTCCTGCTATGAGGACTTCATAAACAGGTGAGTCAGCCTCACTCCCTGGGCGCTTGCAGCGTTTACAGTGGTCCCTGGTCCTCCTCGCTCCCTGGGCGCTTGCAGCGTTTACAGTGGTCCCTGGTCCTCCTCGCTCCCTGGGCGCTTGCAGCGTTTACAGTGGTCCCTGGTCCTCCTCGCTCCCTGGGCGCTTGCAGCGTTTACAGTGGTCCCTGGTCCTCCTTTTTTCCTCTCTGGAACTCTAACACCTGAGCTCTGTTTTTCTTCTGCTGGAACTGTTGTGTCATTCGCCTACATCAAGGGACACAGCACTCTGGGAAAACCCTGTTTTCCAAGTTTGGCGGCCCTTCCTCACAGCCATCTGAGCACAGATCTGCCCCCCCCCCTTCCCCATTTGTTCAAATGTTGGAAAATGGCAGCCAGAGCAGAGGACGGCTTCTTGCCTGAGTATCTGCGTGTCACACCCCCGGTGTTTGTACACAGCCTGCATCTTTAGCAGGGCATCTATCCATTCTGTCCCCCCTCCAACAGCCGGGACAACTCCCCCAGTCTGAAGGAGATCAGGAACGGCTGGCAGCAGCACGGTGACAGGAAGCCTCCCCTCATTCTGAGGTCCTGCCCCTTGGAAGCTGGGCCACCCACTCCCTCCATTGCGCTCCACTCTAGCGACATCCTGGTGGATCTGGAGCAGAACCAGAGGGCTTCAGGCGGCGCTGCACTGACCGGACTTCCAGGGCTCAGCAGTGAGCCCGACCTGATCGACTGCCTACATGGTGGCCCTGCCTTCGGTGCCCCGACCGTCCAGCTGCCCCCCCTGGCTGACCGAGTCTTGGGCTGTTTTGTGCTCATCCTGAAGATTCTGTGAGCAGACCTCCTTCTGCCTGTGTGTGTGTCTGTGTGTGTGTCTGTGTGTGTGTCTGTGTGTGTGTCTG